TCTCTGACCTCCTCTCCCATTCACATCTTCTCAGCCTCTGCCTCTCCTGCTTGCCTCACATGAGGACCCTTGTGATTATATTGGGCAACGCTGGATGATCCAGGATTATCTCCCCATCTGAAGGCCCTTAACATAATCAAATCCACAGAGTTGCTATGGTTTATTGGGTATTAAGCTAAGGCCATCTTTGGGGGCCATTATTCTGGCTGTCACACCAGGTCACTCCTATATCTCCTTAGCACTTTGTGCATAATTTTTCCAGCTTTCATAATATTTGAAATTACTAGTCCAACTGACTGGTTTCCCTGCTTAGCTGTGAGTCTATTGAGGGCAGGGGCCATGATCTCAATTATTTACCATTCTACTTGCATTACTTAGGACAGCACTTTGAGCCCTCAATGCACCTGTATTGACTGACTGCTTGACTGCAAAAAAGAAAGAAAGAAAGAAAGAATGAATGAATGAATGAGAAGCTTCATAATTTATGAGCATATTTTTCAAAGACAGTGTTGTGGTTTGGCCTAAATATTTCTTATCTGCTTTTCTTGAGAAATTAGAGATGTAAATCTGCTTCTCAATAGTTAATTGATATCAACAGCAAATGCCTTCTTTTAAAAAATTGAGTGGCTCACAGACTGTCAAGAACCTTTTGAAGTATATGAAAAGCACTCCTAAATTATGCAACTATGAATACTTTTTAATTAAAGGAGTTAATGAATATTCCACAGGAAAGAACTAGCTTCCACAGTCTGGAGTTAATTGCCCACCCACACCTGATGGTTAATTTCTTTCTGAAATGTTGTTTTTTTGTAGATAAAGCCCATCATTTACCACATCCCACATGGGTATAGATTAGTTGTCTCCTTTGCACATGCTCCAAGCTTACCTCATTTTGCTTAAGGCAGGATATTAGCTGCACATTCACTTTTCTCTTTTCTACAATGATGTGATTTTTATTGCACTGGTTGATTTACTTAGAAGCTTAGAACACAAGGTTATAGCCATAAAATCAGTAGAATGGCAGAACTGTGGGGATACTGTGTAAAAGAAAACTTCCTTTATTTTTGGTAAGATTTCAGAAATGTCCATTGTATTTAAATTTTCATTTGTGTGGATTGGTAACTTTATCATTAAGGATGCCATTTTTATTTAGAAAAGACATCCTGAATTGTTTCTCTTAAAATAGCTTACTTAAATTATTGTCTAAAAGTACCTGACACAATTCATTTGTTTTGCTTTATTTTATTTCATTTTGGTTGGGATGGTCTGAAAATATGCACATATTTTGATTAAAAGAACAGAAAGAGGAAACTGGTTGTCGATGTGAAAGACAAAGCAAGTGCACTGTAAGACAATGGGAGGGACATTTTTGTGTCACTATTGATAGAACACACACATTTTCATAGTTAGCAATCTATCACCATTTAAATTATGAAATTTAATTATTTCATAATTTTTAAAAATATGGAGAGTGGCTAATATGATTACAGGTGAAATAAATGTTCTAGGTTAGAAAAGAAACTCGCTTCTTAAATAATTTTCTGCATCTTCTTTATCACTATTTTCTAGTCATTTAGATCTAGTGACCAATCTCTCTAAATAATAAATACATAGGTTGTTTTTTCACTGTATTATTAAATTCAGATTAACAAATAAGTTTCTTATGAGCTAGTAGTGGCTTTCTGAAGCACTGAGCTGATAACAATTTTAAGGTTTTGACTTCCATGGAATCATAGATTTGACCTCAGTGATTGATTAGTCATGTCTGGCTAAGGAATGGTGGTCAAATGCCTGCCATATAATGATAGCCATAAATAATAATTTATGTAACTTTCAGGAAAAGCAATAACATTGACTTTTTTTACATAAAACAATTGCACATATTTTTTTCAGATTACCATTTCCTTTTACCAAGCCTCTCTTATAGATAGTACTACCTGCTCTTTTGTAGATAGTACCAATGACAATTACATTTTCTAGTAAATAAAAAATAAGGCTTAAAGGTCTCATAAAAATCCACAATTTCCTTAATTTTTAATATTTGGAGGATTAAATATTAATATTTTTTCTAGAGAAACTTTTAGATTAAGAATTTTAAATTGTAGCTTGTTTTGAAATATGTACTATACTTATAAAAGATGTCATTTGTTAAGAACAGTGCCATATAAGGGGGTGGAAAAAAGGGAGTGTCATTGCTACCATTGTAATATCTAATGCTAAAGAAGTCAGTGGTTTGAGACATTTGTTTAATAGAAGCTACTGGATTTTTAAAAATTACTGATTATATTTTTTATATTTAAGAAGAGTACCCACCTTTAAACAGTGATATGTGGGTAAACCTTTAACAAGCAACTCTTGGAGCAGGAGACACGGGGTATGTTAGGGAGAAGCACAGATTTGTAGTACTTGCCAGTTTCCGTGGTGTAAATACTTCTACCATGATTGATTCCAAGCTACCAACATGCTGTCTTTAAGCATGGAGTTGAAAGACTGTGTATACAATTGACATATTGAAAAGATGTCAAAAGAGCTGGTATGAACTAGCTCCATCCAAGTACTGCCTTTAAAGAAATCACATTAATTTTATTTTCTAAAGCAGATATGTTTAAAAGTATTTGCATAGGAACCATTCAAATACTGGACTCCATGGTACAATGCAAACATGAGTAGTCTTCTAAAATGTTTTATATCTAACTTTGTAAGAAAAGGTCTAATCCTGTGTGTGTGTGTGTGTGTGTGTGTGTGTGTGTGTGTATATATATACACACATATATATTTACATATGTATATTGTATGAATTATTCAACTTTTCTGAGAAAATATCTGATAATTAATTGTTAGGGAGAGAATTTTATACTCTGAAAATTCAACAGAATGTTTCTGATATGGATAAAATGTACATATGAATCATAGAAAATATGCAAGGAAATACACAGATTAAATAATGAGCCAAATGTCTTAGTAACATTTAATATTGATCTAGTAATTCTGTTTCTGTAACTCTAAACAAAGTGGAGTAGAAGTATCTATGAAATAATTATTGTAGTGCCAACCTCTGTGTGTATGTGTGTGTGTGTGTGTGTGTGTGTGTGTCTATAAGACTAAGAGGTAAAAGGAATAAATACCAATCGGCACTTCAGTGTTTATCTCTGCTTTGGGTATTTTGTTTCTCTTTCCTGTGATCTTAATCCCTTGTCTCTGATAGTGAGCAGGGTACATGATATCTGAGAATATAATAAGAGCCCTTACATTAGTACAGGTGGACCCTATGTTTAATTAGGCAAATAGTGAATGATAATGATTACTACTGAGTGGTCAGTGAATGAGCTAAGTTGTGGTTACTTTCAATTTTGCTTGAATTTCTAATTTACCATTTTAGGCCAATAGAAGTGAAGCCTGAATCTATCCTTAACGATTAGCCCTCCTTCCCAGGGGAGAAACAGGGAAATAGAAGGCACTATTGGAGTGCCTGGCACTTGTAGGTCCTTCATAAATATTGGTTGAATGGGAGCAGGAGAAGTTTGAGATCTCAAACTATCATTCCTGTTCAACTACAGCTATCCATACAGTTGGAATGCTTATCATATCATCACATCATTTCTACTGTTTGGAATCATATACATCCTTCAAAGCTACTTTTGCATGAAGTCTAATCAACTCCAGAGATTTCGCCTTGATATAAATTCCCATTCTTTTTTAATCATGCATCATTTGTATAACTAATTGTGTTTTTGGCACTCAAAGATAAGCTCAGAGAATAAAAGAAGGCTATCTTATTCACATTTGTATAACTCACCCCAATGTTCACACATTGTAGTTAGAACTACATTTGAACTACTGCATTCAAACAGTTTCCTGAAGGTTACACATGCTCTATGTTAGTATTTTGATTAATAAATATGAATTGAGATCCAAAGGTGAAATTTAGAAACAAATTTTATACCTGAATAGCATTTTTCAACTATATTAAAAATTACTTTGTAACATTTCTCTTTTCCCTAACAGTTATTATTACTATATATAAATGTTTAGTGTTGTTGTATATTTTCTGCTGACTTTTTTTTACTTCTAAGCAGCAGTTTTTAAAAACACACAATTTCTCTCATAATTCCCTCCAATGTTAATTGAGAGACAAGCATTTTTCCACTTTTCTGTAGCCACTATACTGGAAAACCGTGGGCACTTTAAATGGTAGAACTATGCTAATTAAGAATTATTTTTTTCAGAGAACTTCATAATAATGAATTGGTGCTTATTTGGTAGAATTTGCATGCTAATGATAGGGAAATCTTACCGTACATGCTCTGCTCTGAGAACCGTATAACTCCTTAGAGGGACCTTGGAAGTGGCCTGTTACTCTTTAGAAATATGTCATTTCACACAAGGAAACTGTGGCCCTGAGGACATTAGTAAATAAGAAGTCATGATTTCCTAACTAAAAGTTTTCCCCATCAGCTGCATTTGGAGGCGACTTACCATGAACCAAAATTAAGTTTAATTCTGGGGGCCTGTCACATAGCTCCCTTCCAAGGCTTAGTGACAAGCCCCAGCAATGAATATTTTCCTTAAAGTGTGTCTCCAAAATTGTATAAGCTTTATGCACCACGAACAGGACTTCACCTGTGAGCATCCCTATGAAGGAAACTCTGATAATATGGAAAGAGCATGTTCAGAATGTCTAGAGGCTTTGATTCTAGTCTGTATTTGGCACTAACTTGGCCAGCTATTTCAGGTCATTTAAGTTTCCTGAACTCCAGTTTGTCTATCTGAAATAATATTGATAATTAATGTATCCCATCTTCCTCTCTGAGTTATGTAATAATTGCCTGAAATATTACTCAAATTATTAAAAATCAAGAGTTTGGAAATAATTACCAGAAAGATACAAAAATTAAAATATGTTTGGAATTAGTCTTGTTAAAACATTGGGCCACTGTTATTGTCAGCAGCAGAAATATCCAAGAATTTCTCCCTAACTCGAGTCTCTGTTCCTCCTACAGAGGAAGCTTCACAGCCATGCCCACCTGAGAAGTGTTCTTTAATCCTGGATTGCAGCGGATTGACCTTTTTTGACTATTGTGGAGTCTCCATGCTTGTTGAGGTATTTACCTGGCTTCAGTAAGAACGATTCCTTCCTTTCTCTTCAGCATCAGGCGATTTCTCTGGCTCCTCTCTCACCAGCTCCAGGGCTGTAACCCTGTTGGTTTCCATACTCATCTCACCCATTCTCCCCAAAGGACTTAGAACTTCATGTCTCCCACAAATGCAGATTTTTGTCTTTAGGAGAGTCCATCAAGTTTCTAGGTGTGTGTTTGTGTGGGAACAAGAAGGGGGTTCACATGGGACAGTCAGGAGAGAACTTAGACTTGAGAGGCTGTGGGCACAGTGCACGCTGGGCAGTCGGCTTACAGGCTTCCAAGAGGAGAGAAGTGCCCTCTGCACACAAGAGGCCTTGGCAGGGCCAGGACGCTCGCTCTCACACCTCGGCCGGCGCAGGTCAGCCGGATGCCCCTCCTGGTCCCTCTGACCGTGCGCCTTGCGGGAGCTTCGCTCCGTTCTCTCGGTGATGGTGCTCACGGTTCTGCCCCATGATCCATGGGGCTCCGTGCTCCTTGGGAGCAAACAAATAAAGGGGTTTGTTTCTTTGAAACTGACATAGCTCACAAGCTCTCACATTTCTTCTGATGGAACAAAACGTATTCTCAAGGAAAATTCAATTCAAGGAAAACTCAGAGATTTCTGGAGCTCTCAGCCCCTCCTTATATGAGTAAGTACTGTCAACAGGGAATTTACCCCCTTTCTTATTTTCACTTGTTCTTTTCCTCAATACCCTGAATTTCTTGGGGGAAGGTCTTGAGGATGGGGCAACATATGTTCCTCAGTTGCCTTCAGTCTTCCACCAGTGTCTGCTGCCTGGGGCTTGGCTTTGGGGGTTCGCTCCTCAGGGGTTCTCTTAGCCCCACCTCATATAGTCTCTTTCTCCATGTGTGTGGCTTTGTATTTAGCTGAAAACTTAATCAAAACCCTATGAAAATGTCCGGAGCTCTTTCTCTCCTTTCCATTACCCTCTCCCACAGAATTCGCCCGTCTAATCCTTCCTGAGCTCCAGTTCTGTCTCCTTGGCTCAGGGAATCTGCTGCGTTTCACTGAGGTTCCCGGCGTCCCCGCTGAGCCGTAGAGCCGAGGGAGCGGTGAGCTCGCCTCCGTGTTTCTCTCTCTTGGGGAGCTCAGCCCTGTGCTGCCTGTCCCCACCATCTGCACACAGTTGTTTGTATATTTTTGTCTACTTATAGGATGTCATAGTCTTGCGTGGGGGTTTCTCCACGTGGCAAGAAGTTCAAATCAGACATTGAGTTAAGATCAGTAGTTTTTATAAGAGGTCCCACATTATGGGTTTGGATTGTTTTCTTTTGGTGTTGCAAACTGTATCTCTATCCACTTATATTTTAAATTTAAAATGTCCAAACTTTCAAACTCAAAAATCAACATTAATATCACTTTCCTGTGAAGATAAGGGTGGGACTATGTGGAGGGGAAGGTGCTTGGTGAGCACAGCTGAGCTGAGGCCTCAGCCCTGACACAATAGCTGAGAGGTGGTGGGGACATCAGTTAATCTGTCTGGGTCTCAGTTCACTCATCTTGTAAAACTGAGGGGGTGATTTTGTTTCAGGATTAGCAGATATTCAGAAAACAAATGTTATTTTCAAAACAATTGAATTTTAAATACCTTAGGCCTTAAATCTAGCAACTATTTTTGATATCACCCTTTTCCCCATATAATATACTCTTATTTTCTTGTTCACTATAAACACTTTGCACAATCTGCCAAAGAGTCCCACCTGAACACTCATATTTTCTTGTATCTATATCTGGACCATAGACAGATAGGCTTCTTGTGTTCACTGTTTTTATTTACTCTGTGCTGCCAAACCCTATAAGAGGGCTCTTAAACTTGTGTGCGTAAAGACCATCTCGGGTGCTGATTTGAAGTGCAATCGTCTGGGTCTGGGTTCTGGTCCAGAATCCTTTATTTTCAACCATCATTAGAGATTCTGAGGCATGTGGTCCAAGGATCATAGTCTGAGAAACACTGGATTACAATTGTCCTTTTACTAGGGAAGCCCAATACATCCATTTTTTTGGTTTAATTTTATTTTAAATGTGTTCTGAATATGCTGTAATATTTGTTAACTAATCTCTGTAGATATTGCAGATCAGGATTTAGAGTTAGTAAAGAGGAGGTAATGGTAGTCTATTCCCACTTAGGCTCTAAGATTGAAAATTCAGAAGAATCCAAATAATCCAGGTACTGGGCATGTTGAGAAATAGCTATTTTTCATTCATCTCAATGGTTATAAAGTAATATGGAATGGTAGAATAAATCAATGGAATGGTAGAATAAATCAGCAATGCATTTTATTTTTAAATGGGCAGAAAGTGACACTTGCCCTTGGCCTGGTGTTTTTCATTTGTAAATATAAAACCAGCATTTTGTATCAGTTTGCCCTTTTTAACTTCCTTATTATTATTTGGTTTATTTTCATCATGGTTATAGTAAATTATGATGTATGTTAAGAACATAGGCTTAAAGATAACAAATTCTGAGTCCAAATATTGGCCCTGTAACTAGTTATGATCTAAACTTCAGTAATCTGCTTTTCTATGAACTGAAAGCAGAAAATCCCACTTCATCCTGTGAAACTCAGACATGACATACTGCACATAAAGTACACGACAGTTTTTAGAAGTTTTTAAGTACTCAATAATGCTAGCTTTTGGTATTTGTTCACACTTTGAAAGAGTCATTTCTTAAAGTGCAAAAAATATCATTTTTGCTAATTCTATTACTTAGCTCCAGTCACTGGAAGACGGTCCGGAGTGAAGAGCCACAGAGCATCTTCAGATCAGCATGTCTTCTTGTTTCCTAACAACATTCCTTGGATTGTTTTCTTAGTCACTGTAGCATCATGAACATTCTTCTAGGAGTTATAGGTTGAGGGGAATGGACTGAATTCTATTTATTCTTCTACTTAGGACACTGGAGAGGTCAGTGAACTGGTGATTGTTTATCAGATCAACAAACCACCTGTAGCAACATGTTTGTGCTTCACTGAGCTTAAGAAGAAGTCAAACACTTACAGGTCACCTTGAATAAATCATTTTAAATTATAAAAACAGGAGCCATTTATTAAATGGCAAAGTCTCTGTTCATATATATTTGTTTGCTTGTTTATTCACTCAGAGTGTGAATATTATTCACATCTATTATTCACAATTCTCTTAACACAAAAACTGCTGGAAGTATATAAGGGAGATTTTTAGATATATCATGCATATTCTTAGAAGTATTATAAATGCAGCTTTCTACATTTTATATGTAAGATACAGCACTAATCTATAACCAAATCCATCCTACTGTTAGTAAAACTTCTAGATTTAGTTTCACTAAGTTTTCTGGGCTGACTTTGGTCTGGGTGAATTTAAGATCATGGCCTTCAATAAATTGTTCCTACATGAGCTCTTCTAGGACTTAACCAAGGCAAGACCCTAAAGTACACCAAGCAAATTAGCTAGGATCTCTCATTTTGGTGGACCTTTGAAAATGGAAGTTAGGCAATCCAACTTGGCTTTAATTACCATGAGGTTCTCAATTTACCACCATGGATGGGATTTTAGAGCCCAGGAATGTACCAGTTGTGAAATATTCAAGTAAGCAAGAAGTCGGTAGTTTTCATCATTTTTACAAATGGGTCCTTGACTTCCAATAAAACAAGGTTGAGAAAAATTTTATATCATTCTTATAGGGAAAGAAACAAGGTGCTTTAATTTTTATTAAATAAAATGAAAAATGTAAGCAGTCAAACTTAGTTGCAGTACCTTGGTACTCCATTAAGGCTCCATTAACCTTAGTGTGTGGACAGTCTTCCAGCGCTTGCCAGCGTCTGCCTGACTGTGTAACAATGCCTCCCTCTGGTGGTCTGACATCATAAACATTAGCTTTCTTTTTCTTTAGAAACTCTCCTGATCCTTCCTGCCTGCTATCCTGACTTAATTGTGGGTGTACTATTTAAATTCTTCCAGGTTTACATGGACTGCAAGAGCAGGAGTGTGGATATATCATTAGCCCATTGCAGAGGTAAGGGAGTGTCCTTAGCAAGTATCACACACTGTCCTTCTGCAGCTGGTCCATGTAGCCTTACATCGCTTGTGCTTTCTTGTAGCTTCGTTGATAAAAGCAATGAAGTATTGTGGAAACCCTGACTTGGAGAAACCCATTTTTTTTGAATCAGTATCTGCTGCAATAAGTAACATCTATCGAAATAAGGTGAGCTGAGCAACTAGCATGCAGGAGTTACAAGAAAAATTAGAATGTAAGATCAAAGACTTTGCATTTTTTGTATTAGCCTATAACCCCACTAGCAGTTAAAATCTGTTAAACTTTCCCCTTTCCTCAGAGCCCTCTGCTCCAGTAAAGGAGTGTTTCCATTCCTATTTGCATCAGGTATCAACATTGTTTAATAATTTGGGCCTTCCAACAATATCAGTGCTTGAGATTGTGCTGATTGCCCAGTAAGTGCAAACTGTTTCCTCCTAAGATAAAAGCTCTTTCAAGAAGAATTTGAATTTGAATTTGGAAATTCTGGAAGTTTGAATCCACCTCTGTCAAATACAAAAACTCTAAATATAGTCTTACAGCTTTTTTTCTGCTCTGAAACCCTTTCCTCTAAGCTCATATTGCTATCTTTGGAAATATTATTTGCAGAACCCAGCACTCACATGATCTGAAGTGTCAAAGTTATCTTCCAAATATTGGGCTCTATGGTTAGTTTTAGAACTGTTCCTAGAGCTTTGATTTCCTGCAATTTTTCTTTGTCTCTGAATTGTTCTGCCTTTCCTCATCCATCCCTAGAAAAGCATTTGGTGCCTCCCAGAGTCATCTCTCTTACATTCAGTCAGAACAGTATGTGTATATGTATTTATAAAATAATTATAATAGCATTATTATTATTATTATTATTTTTATTTTTATATACCTAACATTTATTGAGTGTTGATTATGTTCCAGAAATATTGAGAGCTTTACTGAATGTTAATTCACTGAATTGCTGCAAGCTTATTAAGGAGATATTACTATTTAAAGTATTTTTAGAAACAAGGAAACTGAGGCCAAGAGAAGTTACACAATTTATAACTGGCAGAGCTGGCTTCAGAGTCAGCAGTCTGACTTTGGTCTTGGAGCTTTGAGCTGCTGTCCTCTGGTGCTTTATAGAATGTTCATTTTCTTTGCTTGGCTGGACAGCTTGCTTTCAGTTACTACTGTTTTTTGACTCTGGTACCAATTGAAGAGTCGAGGTAGCAGCATGCATTTATTGCTTCCTCTTATATTTCAGAATTTGAGGAAACTCAGTGACCATACTGAAGTTTGAGGTCCTTTTGCGGCAGCACAGCTCTTGGTTTTAGCAACTGTCCTGAAGATCTCAGGCCGTACTCCAGCCTCGTGCTGAGCCTTTTTCGTTTAGATCCTACAGATGACCTCTACTACAAGTATGATGTGACTTAGTAACTACATAGCCACTGATCAAGATTCACCAACAGTTTTTTCTAATCTTTGTTAGTAAGCAGATCCACTTAGTAGGTTATTGTGTAGATATTGTATAAAAATTGTTATGCATTTAGTTTTAGTGTGTGAAAGGTAAACATGAATTTATTCCCTTTACCACAATATATTTTGTTGTTTTATTTCTATTTTGTTGTCAGGTAACTTGTAAAACAGAAAAACACTTTGTCATAAGAGATTTAGATCATTTGCAAGCCATTTGTATCAATCCAGTACGATCTGTATGTAATGCATAAAAACAACTTAGCAAATGTGCCATTTTCCCTAGAAAAAATAATGCAGGCCCTTTAACATCAATAGATTAAATGTTACTTTATACAATATGCTATGAAATTCACAGAAAATAAGTCAAAACAGAAACAAATAATAAAAACCATTGTTCTCCATACAATGAGAAGTCTTCAAGAATGTTTTCAAGATAACTGGTGTACCAGTGAAACCAAGTTCTTGATTTTAATCTGTTTTGCTGTGAATATTGGGGATGCTTAAGATATTCAGAACTGATAGCCCTAATTTCCATATTGCTACCCCATACAGTCTCTTTTGTCAGCCTAAGTTTTGTGGGAGCCAGAAAATGTAGAAATTGTACATTTTATATTTTTTCACAAATGTGATATTTAGATAAGAAAATACCACTAGTAGAATAGCTTTGTGCTATTCTAATGTAAGATTAACTGTAGTAGTTTGCGACTTTCCTATTTCCTAGAGACTGTCAGTATAATATAATACACTATCTCCATATACCCATATAGATAGATAGATTACCACAGTATTTCTTTCCTTTTTCTTCTGTTAGAGGAGAGCTTGGGTATGTGATTATCTATAAACCCACCAAACCAGCAGGATAAATGACAGACACCATAGGCTAGGGTGTTCTGTATAAGTTATTATTTTTATGTTTGCACATATATTTTCAATCACATACAATTAGACAGTTTCATATTTTTATCTAGACATTTGCTTTACCTATGAAGAAACCTCACTTTCAATGATAGGTATAGACACATAATTATGCTTCAGTCTTAAGGCATTCTAACAGTTCTTGAAATTACCAATGGAACAAAAATCCAGGTACTCTAAAGTGAATTTGAGAAGTAGGCTGAAAACAAAATCATAAGCCTGGTCATTTAGTATTTTTGTGGGTATTTGTATGAAAAATTCCCAGTGCTTGCCAGGTGATTTAATGGTCCCTAGTAAATGTGTGGTAAGCATTCATATGGTCCTTAATTTTAACATTAAGTTCTAGGAAAGACAATATAATGAAATGAAAGGGGCATAATTTTGAGTAGTTTTGAATTATCATAATTTATCCAGCCATTTCAATTTTGATCGACATGAACTAAAAAGAATAGTCTCTTTCCCAAAGGAAGCCTCAATAATCCCTTCATCACTAATTTTGATTGAAATTAGAGACCAACTTTCTTTCCCATCAAATACTGTTTTAAGAAAAGGAGGAGGTAATAACTGAACATAAAATTTCCTTAGAGAAAAGAATTTCACTCCGCTTTGCCCAGTTCAATTATTCTAATGGTGGATGGTAGTAACATTCCCCATTCTGATCCATCCGACATTAGCTCATAAACATGAGACAAGGAAAATTAAGAAAACATATTTTGCTGTGCATAAACTGATATTTTGATATGCAGTTGTGGTCTATAATTAAATTCATGCAGGCATTATAAATGGATGCCCTTAAAATCATTATAATTAATCAATGGATGGTTTGTTCTATTTTGTTAAAGCTGACACAGTATTGTCTAAGCAGGTGTATTTGAATGCATTTTAGTGTTAATAGCAGAAGTTTATTGGATAACACTTTAAAGCCAATAACTTGGGTGTCAAATGTTGATGTTATTTTCACAGTAAAGGAAGACCAAACCATACACAACCATGTAAAGCTCTTTCTTCTAAGGTTTCTCCTGTAAACCAAGGTTGCAATGACTCGATCTGGAGGAACTCCCTGCAATTGATTTCTGAGAGTATAATAGTTAAATATCAATTTTAGATACACAAGATTTGAAAACATAAATATTTATGTCAAAGCAGGCATTAACACAAGAACTATAATGTGGTCCTGATGCTAGAAGGTTTCTAGTCACATTAAAATATTTTTATGAGATCACCTTATTTTTATATATGACAAATTACTTCCATATTACTTATTATGTAAAATAAAATTGGAAAAAATTAAAACTGACCTATAAGAGTGTTAAGGTCCTAATAGAGTGACATATATAAATTAAGCATAAAATATGTAACCAGGAAAAGACTGTTAATATTACATTTATGCAAATTAAATGCCCTTATATTTTACCATTTATCTTTCATTTTAAAGGTTATTTGCCCCCGATTATATGATTCAAGTGTTATAAGGTCTAGCTTGAACTACTTTGCAGTAATTTATTTGACAGCTCTCTATTCCATAAATGCATAATGAAATGAGGAAAGAGATCATTCTTTTTTTAATGAAAACATTAATGTGTTAATACCCTGTATGGATAATGTTTGACATTTCGTGGTTACCAAAATATATTAGTATATTGTTGAATGCACTTCAGCCTTAAGAATGCACATTCTGAATTCTGTGGGATGATGATCTAATTCAATGTAGAATATGCTTTTCAGCAATGAGTTTATTGCCTGACTTCAAATAGGGAGTTAAGTGGTGCTTTCACAACCCAACTCATGTAGTCTAATATGCTGCACTTATTTTTTTTATATTTTTCAATACATTTAATTATCTTTTTTTATAATTCTTTGTACTAACTCAGCATGTAGCAACCAATTTACATGGAAATAAATTGAAATATGATAGCTATTATGCTTAAATGGATTTGTGTCCATTATTTCAAAGTATTTACTCTCTTGTAAAGCAAATAATATATATTGCTTTCTTAGAGTGACCACAGAGTATTGTATGTTGAAAATTTCTGGAAGTATCCATTATTCTTGGTAATTTGTTCTTACAAAATTTCAACCTAAGATTGTGAGATATTGTATCTTAATTTATAGACTACTTATTAGGGTGCTTTTTGCTGCAAGACTACATTTACACAATCCTCTTTCACCAGGTTTACATTCTTTTTATTCTAGTTTTAATTAACATGTCCATTTTCATTTTTTGTTTGAGTTCTTGGTTTATATGCTGTTTGTCTTCCCTGAGTTTCTAGGCCAAGTTTGATTTTCTTCAGCATTTTAAAGGTTACTGCTCCAAGGAAAAGCAAATATGGCATATGCATCTAAGTTTGGAAACAGCGGCGAATAAAACAGAAAGAAAGAAAATCGAAAATCCCTGCCCTCATGGAACTTACATTTTAAGATGGGAAGATAGAGAATAAATGGAATAAATTTAAAATACATTTGTTGTAAGTTATATGATAATATATGCTAAGAATAAGAAGAAATCAAGGAAAAGAGGATAGGCAGAAAGTGGGCATTGTGTTCCTACAGAGGGTGGCAGGAATGGTAACTAATGAGAATGTCTTAGTCTTCTCAGGCTATTATAAGAAAATCCCACAGATTGGGGGGCCTAAACAATAAACATGTATTTCTCAAAGTTCTGTAGGCTGGGAAGTCAAAGATCAAAGTGCCAGCTGCTTCAGTTTCCAGTGAGAGCTCTCTTGCTGGTTTGCAGATAGCCACACTCTCTTAGTGTTCTCACACGGTAGAGAGAGAGAGAGTGCTCTGTGGCGTCTCTTTTTCTAAGAACACTAATCCTATTGGTTTAGGACCTTGCCCTCAATGACCTCATTTAGCCTTAATTACATCCTTATGCCTTATATTCAAATACCCCTATCTCACCTTGGGGCTTAGGGCTTCAACATATGAATTTGGGGCTTGGAGGGGGGAGATACAATTCAGTCCATAGCAGGAAGTTATAAATTTCCTATACATTTAAAATTCTTCCTTTTTTATGTCTGAACAATATGCTTACTAGGATTTTATTTAAGTTTATTATATAATGTGATGTTTTTGCATCAAAAACATGATAATCATGAACTATCTTATTAAAGTATTCTGATGCTAGAGGCACTAGGTAAGCCCTACCTGGCTACTCCGTTGAGATTCTGGTCATGAAACACAGTGATGACCAGGTGTGGGTTTGCGATATACATATGGCTATGCAGAAACTGACACATCTTCCGGTGATGGTTCCTAATGATTAGCCTTCCAGTAGTGAAAGAAGATAGAATTGAATTCGTTTTCTTTCAGCTCTCATATTGTTTTAAAGAAAATAGCAACAGAGGCATGCTTAATTCTATCAATTATCACACAGAGAGGCACAGAACAGAGTCCTGAGGCTAACTGCAGTGAAGGCATTCCACTTTGGTTCTTTTGTTTCTTTGTTTTGGTTTCTTGTTTTGTTTCATTTTTTAAAAAGGAAAGAATACCAGGTTATACAAATTACCCAAGTGCTCTGAAATTATCTTTCAGAGTACTCATTATATAAAAATCCTCACTCATTTTCTATTGATTCAGGCACAGGAAGGTCATTTTGGTCAAACTTAATCTCCTTTCTCTCCTAAGAAAAGACCATTTTCTCTAGGAAGAGTAGGAAACTTTTTTGTATTTTTTCCTATTTGGAGCCTCTTATTTTATGGCCATTTAGAAGTCAGTCAATTAGTAAGTTCAGTAAGAATCTATGCTTAACAATTGTTATATTAAAATAATACTTCAATAATAAAATACATATAAATAAAACTGAGATTTCATCTTTATTTCCTTTGCTTCTAGAGCTGCCCTTTTTTTTTTCCTTCTTGGCTTTGAAATAATTTCTGGACTTGTGAGGCTAGAAAGTAAGGAAAGAACAGAGCCTCTTTTAGACTGTGATGTGTTTTCCAAGTCAACACCCCTGTTTCTACACTTCCTTACACCTTGATTTGTACACTACAGGGTTCCCAAAATTCCATGCTCCCTATTCAATTTGTAGTAAAGGGCCTATTGTTTAAATAAAGGCATCTTTACTTAAACGAACAAAGCCTGAGAGAGTGTAGGAAGGAAAGGTCAATGAAGGCAATGCCTGGGCCATGGATAGGTTTGGGGAGAAAGAAAGACTGAGGATGAGGGCAGGTTTACAGGGGGTGGTGAGTGTATGAGAAGGAGGCTGCTTGGCATGATTAACCCTCTGGTGTAGGGCTTCTGGAGTATCTGGGTATCTACTGAGTCCAAATATTTACTTCACTTCTCTTTCAAGGGTTCTGAAGTTCTCATCATTAGTCACTTATTTTAGACTGGAGTAAATACTACAAGGAAAAACAATGTATGCTATTGCCATGCATTGTGTTAGCTTTAGGAAGAACTAGTTCATCTGATCAGCTTATAAAACACTGCCTCCAAGGACCTGTGGAAACAAAGCACAGAATGCATTTTGATGAGGAAGACTGGCTAGAAATGTCTTTTGGAGCTCAGGGTGCTGCTGAGGGCAGGGTTGGAAGGGGGTGTGTGGTAGTGGGAGGAAGGCTGGCATGGCGAGGGGGCCAAGAGGTGATGTTCCTCAGGCATTCTTGGAAGACCAGCTGGGTCTTTCCCCCATCCCCAAAAGACACAGACACAATGGAACTGGGGTTCATGAAGCCAAACACAATTCTTCCCACATAGCTTTTCCTGGGGCTTGGACCCATGCCTTTTGCTTTGGCTCTGGAATTAAAATTTGAGAATAGCAGTGTGACTGCCAAAAGCAGGATTAACCTATAATTCTTGTTTTGTATAAACCTTTTTTTTTTCATTTGCCCCTCTTCACACTGCCAATGAAAATATTGAAGTAGTAAGGGTCTAGCTTACTAGAGTAGAGGTTTAATTAAAACCAATCTAGTTTAGGTGCCAGCTTTCTTCTAAATCTTAGTGAAATGTGATCCATATAATATCTGCACCAGAATTACCTTGGGAATTTGGTAGATTTGAAGATTCAAGCACCCTCCCCAAGACCTAGTGAATCTGAATTCCTTTGTGGTGTGCTTGAGAATAAGGATTGTTAAACAATCACCCACTTTAGTTTTGTACTCTAGAGTTGGAAATCACAGTCAACAAAGGCTTTCTTTAGGATGTATTTGAAAGAAGCCCTGTACTCTCAGGCATGTATGGGATCACCAGGGCTCTGTTTAGACTTGGGCATCAGTCACCATGTATTGTGGATATATAGTGGATCGATGGAGCTGTGTTAAGTAACCAGAACTAGCTGTACAGTTATGTCCTGTGGCATAGTACCATGCCAAATTTATCATAGCTTTAGATCAATATGAGTTTATCAGCGAAAGTATCTGAAATATATTATCCATATTGACATATTCCTGGGTTAATTTCCTAAGACTGGAAGTTTGGATTTAGTATCTTTCATCATGGAAAACTTCAGTCTCCGCCTTGTTTCACAAATTTATACTGTTTCTGACAGTTACTAATACAGTCATATAAAAAAATGGTCCCCTTCTTCAGGTTGCTCCTCACACATATCCATTTAGAAACATATTGTGAATGAGAGAGAGAGATATTTCCCTTCCTGCCTGAGGCTCCATGGGTAATTATTTTCTTTCAACACGTTCATTGAAATCCCCTGTGTAATGCTACCAAAGTGAATTATAGTCAAACCTTTTACTCTGCACATATGGAGCTGGGATAAAGAGATGGTGCCAGCAATATTAGTCAGCTACTTTCAGTTTGGGGATTGAGGCTGAGGTAAACCATCATAACAAGAGAGAAAATAATACTCAATTATGAATCACTGCCAGATGTGTGAATATATATCTTCAGGTTTCATTTTTCTGGGATATACCTATTGTAATATATTCTTTATCCACTTTTTAAGTGATTCTATTTATATGGGTAATGGATTTAATTGCATTAAATGTTCCAGAAATTAACAAAATATTCATAAAGTATGTATTTGGACTCCATATTACAAACCCCACTCAAAAAATAAATCAGAAACTGGTCTAAAGTAAGTGTTATATAACAATGTTCTGTACCCCAAGTACTAGAGGGGCTGTGATTGGGACCTCACTGTACATCTTGCCATGCCTTGCCTGCCTCACGTAAAGTGTCCAGGGTACCATCAGGGTGAGGGCAGAGAGGGTGAAGTAAAACAGGCCAAAATAATTGTTGGAAAAATATTTGCAGAATGAGTACAACTGAAGGGATACCTGATATGTGTGGTCCTGAGGTCCTGGATCCCAACTCTTGTGGTACATGCAGATTGTTTAGTATCCATGTGAGGTATCTGGAAGATGACCACATTTCTGCCAATTGGAGTCTCTGAAAATTCCTAGTCTCTGGCCTAAGGAGGGTCATTGTTGCTGTCGGTCAGTGCTTTCACTCCTCCAAGGGAGGTGCTCAGAGATCCTGCCATCCCTGTTTCCCAGTATTATGAAATAACATCACATCCTTAATCCCACTTCTAAATCCCATTCCTACAGGTCTTCCACAGGGAACCATGCCTCCCACTTCAGGAATCCATTATGCATTTTCTCCCTCAATTTATTACTGATCCTAACCACCTAAAGACACCGGCATCCAAATCCACCTATGCTTGTATTGTTTGAACGTCACTAGTTGAGTTGTCCTTTAGTCTACTCAAGATTAAATCTGCCAAGTGCCCACCTTGCTTAGTTTTTCATTTTTTAAAATCCAAACTTCTATCTTGTATTTCCAGGAACTTCCCTATCAATTAATTCCTTTTTCCAGTGTCTTCAAACTCTTTTACTTAACTGGATATAACTACAGTCCATTAAAAAATCTTTGTTATTTTATTCCTCTCCCTAAAAAACATTCCTCATCTGATCATGCCTCCGCTTCTGTCTCTTCTCTCCACTTATCTTCA